CCTTAGGCCACTACTGTTACCTCCTGTTATTACTGTTACCTCTGTGGGCTGCTGCCATTAAACAGGTATGTGAAATCGTCAGCATAGCTGGCTGGCAGCTTGATAAGAACTGAGCTAGGACCAGTTGAACCTTTATTTCTCGCCCTGGGTAGAAAAAGTCCAAGGGGGCAATTGTGTCTCAAATAGAGGCAGGAGGAAAAGAGAATGGAAACCGGATCTACTGAGTGGGGGACCAGTGAGCTGCAGACTGGGGGAGCCAGGGTGAGCAGGTCTCATTCCACACAGGGCCTCTCCCTGCACCCTCTGTCCCTCCCTGCCTGTGATATCAGCCACGAGCCAGGAATAACCTGTGATTCCAGAGGAGATGATGGGGTCAGTCAAGGGTGACATTCAATCAGGGCTCCCCAAGTGGCTGGAAGGAGGTATTGCACCTCTAAGTCCTAACTTCTTCCACCTCCAGAGCCCTCAGTGTGGTTTCTTTCATTCATTAAAAAAAGACAGTAGTCGCCGGGTGTTGTGGCTCACGCCTGTAATCCTAGCACTCTGGGAGCTGAGCGGCGATTGCTGGAGGTCAAGAGTTCGAAACCACCCTGAGCAAGAACCCCCCCTGCCCCCCCCCCGGCTCTACTAAAATAGAAAATTAATTGACCAACTAAAAGAAAAAAAAAAAAGACAGTAGTTGGGAGCAGCCAGGCGCAGTGGCTTCATGCCTGTAATCCAGCACTTTTGGAGGATCGCTTGAGGCCAGGAGTTCATGACCAGCCTGGGCAGCATAGTGAGACAACCTCCACATCTCTAGGAAAATTAAAAACTAGCTAGGCGTGGCGGTGTGAGTTATGTAGTCCCAGCTGCTGGGGAAGCTAAAGTGGAAGGATCACTGAGCCTAGGAGGTCCAGGTTGCAGTGAGCTATGATCGTGACACTGTACTCCAGCCTGGGCGACAGCAAGACTCCTGCCTATTAAAAAAAAAAAAAGTTTCACCTGCCAGGCATGAGGCATCCCCAAGCTGGGTTCTGAGGATATAAGCATGTCCCTGCACTCAAAATGGTTGAAGAATTAGCCCATGGACTTCTCTGGTAGCTATTCAGAGCTCAGGTTTTCTGAGGACCGTCTCATTATAGTTGACTCCGATCTAGATAAAATATACTTGTCATGCCTTGTTAGGTTCTTTAGAACAATAATGAAATTTCATTCATTACTTAATAAAATAAAGCAAAACCATCAGAGCTGTGAGCTGAAACTAAGGTGGTGATTGAGCAATAACCTGAAATCTTGGTCAAGACCTACATGAAGGCTGCGAGCAGAACTAAACCTGGTAGGGAGGGGGCCGGGCTCGGTGGCTCACGCCTGTAATCTCTCTGGGAGGCTAAGACGTGTGGATCGCTCAAGGTCAGGAATTCAAAACCAGGCTGAGCAAGAGCAAGACCCAGTCTTAAATAGAAAGAAATTAATTGGCCAAATAAAAATATATAGAAAAAAAAATTAGCTGGGCATGGTGGGGCATACCTGTAGTCCCAGCTACTTGGGAGGCTGAGGCAGGAGGATCACTTGAGCCCAGGAGTTTGAGGTTGCTGTGAGCTAGGCTAACGCCATGCACTCGTAAGCCCAAAAAAAAAAAGTCAACACAGAAAACCTATCAGAAATGTGATTCTATAGCTCTTGGCATTTAATGATCGGCTAGGAGTTCTTCCAGTTGTCTGACTTACATCCCCCTTGCTGCTCGTCTGTTCAGGGTGAGCTGGCTGCAGCCCTAAGAGCAGACTCCATGTGCTAGCCCTCTGCAGGCCAGACGATGTCCTCTTACTTACCTACTTGAGTTCTGCACATGAAGCTCCTGGCTTTTTTCGGTGATGTCGGCAACATCCAGCATCTGGTCTGGGCCGATCTTCACAGCATTGAAAGCAGGTTTGCTGAGGGGGGGGGGACAAAAAATACGTTAATTCTTTTTTTTTTTTTTTTTTTTTTTTTGAAAAAGGACAGAGTTCTCCCCACCCTTTGTTTGTTTCCCCAGGGCTAGAGTTTTTGGGAGTTTTTTTTTGCCCCGGGGTTTGGGGCGTTTTTCCAAAAAAGGGGGGGCCTTAAAAAAAGGCCCCTTCACAAAAAAAAAGCAAAACCCTTTCCCCCCAAACTCCCCTGGTGCTTGGGGGGAAAAAAAAGTGGATCCCTTCTTGCCTTCAAGGGCCTTTTCCGGGGAGTAAAAAAAAAAAAAAGCTTTGGGGGGTGACTTTGTTACAAAAAAAAGGGGCCATTGCCGGGGGGCCAAACCCCCATTGGGGGGGGCCCGGGGCTTAATTTTTTTTTTTTTTTTATAAAGTAAATATTATTTATTCCCAGGTTGGGGCCCCAATTTTTAAATTTTCTTTTCTATTTTTTATTTAGTAAAGAGGAAAACCGGGGGGGTCTTTTCCCGCTTTTTTTCCTTGCTTTCAAAGGGCTTTGGGGTTTTTGGGAAAAAACCTCCTTGAACCTTGGGAAAGGCAAATCGCCCGCCCTTTCCGGGGCTCCCCCCCAAAAAAAAGAAAGCTAAGGGGGATTTTTACCAGGCGTTGAGGGCCCCAACCCAAAAAAAAGCGGCCCCCCGGGGCCCGGGGGGGACCAAAAAATACTAAAATTCTTTTTATTTTAAAGGGTTTTTTCTGTTAAAAAAAAGGGGGTTTTTGTTAAATTTTCCGGGGTTTAAATTTAAAGGAAAAATTAACTCTAAAAATTCTTAAATTGCTATATTTGAAAAAAAGGGGCCATTTTTTGGGGGAAAAGGAAAAAAAAAAAAAAAAAAAAAAAAAAAAAAAAATTTAAAAAAAAGAAAAAAAAAAAAAAGAAATTATCTATAAGTATTAGTTATTATCATAATTATGTGATCATTCTGACATCTGAAGTCATTGAGGTTCTAAATTGCTGTTTTTTTTTTTTTTTTTTTTTGAGACAGAGTCTCGCTTGTTGCCGGCTAGAGTGAGTGTCCGTGGCGTCAGCCTAGCTCACAGCAACCTCAAACTCCTGGGCTCAAGCAATCCTGCTGCCTCAGCCTCCCAAGTAGCTGGGACTACAGGCATGCGCCACCATGCCGGCTGATTTATTTATATATATATATATAGTTGCCAATTAATTTCTTTCTATTATAGTAGAGAGGGGTCTCGCTCTTGCTCAGGCTGGTTTCGAACTCCTGACCTCGTGCAATCCGCCCGCCTCGGCCTCCCAGAGTGCTAGGATTACAGCGTGAGCCACCCGCCCGGCCTTAAATTGCTGTTTTTGATGATCCACTTATGATGTTTTCTTTTTTAAACATTCTCTGATCTTTGATTGTGAACTTATTTTGGAGTATCTTTGTCTGGAATATAGAGGCTCTAAATTTGGTATATTTTCTTCCAAAGGACTGCCTCCTAAGACCACATTTGGCCCCATCTCTGTTTCATGTGGGAGTGCCAGGTTCAGCTCCCTCTCTGCTGTTTAGTTCTTTTTTTTTTTTTTGAGACAGAGTCTCACTCTGTTGCCTGGGCTAGAGTGCCATGGCGTTAGCCTAGCTCACAGCAACCTCAAACTCCTGGGCTCAAGTGATCCTCCTGCCTCAGCCTCCCAAGTAGCTGGGACTACAGGCATGCACCACCATGCCCGGCTAATTTTTTTTTCTATATTTTTTATTTGGCCAATTAATTTCTTTCTATTTAAGACTGGTCTGCTCTTGCTCAGG